AGGGGCGTAACATTTCTGTCACATGCTTGAGGTATTCGGCCAATCATAATGCACTGGATAGCTGGCCAATCACAGCACACCTCGCTTTTTCAGACCGATGAGCTTTGTAAAAATCGACGCGTTTCAGAAAGGCGGGGCATAGAGGAGAAACAATAATGTACAGTATGTGGAAAATAATGTGTTTTTTTAACCTTAAACCGCATAAACACATTTCATTATACCAAATACACAAAATAATGTTTTTTCTAGCAGCATCATATGACCCCTTTAAGATTTTTTTTGCAGTGACATTTTAATTTTCTACATGAATTCTTATGATAAATAAATGTTTTCATTTGTAATAATGATAATAATAATAACAATAATAAAACATGTGGATGCATTCTTTTGACAATAATTAAATTGGAATTATATAATTACATATTTTTTTTAATTTGTTAATTACTCGTGCAATGTTGTTGTCTAAATCAGCTGAAAACATGTTGTAGCACTAAAACTTTATAAACAAAATCAGAACACAAGACACTTTATGAAGTAGAGTGTTAGTATTAATGAAACATACAATATTACATGTTCAATATTCATCAAAATCATTTCGCACACGCAGTGAGACGGGAATCCTCATGCACGTCTGATTCTGATGATCTGGACTCTCGAGCGTGTCGTGCAGGATGACAGTCACAGTTCAAAGTGTCCAGAAGACTAGTTATGTCAAGATTTCCTCAACATCCCAATCCAAACCCAGTGTCTCTCAGGCTCTTTTGCCGTTAGGATTTCCCAGCCTTCTTTTCACGCTTCTTCCTCGTGTAGCGAAAACTCTTCAGTGGATTTTTACCTCTCAAATTCTTCTGCAAACGCGACATAAATGAAAACAGCATTCATTCAGAGCGCCATTACAGAATCAGTTTTTACATACAATTCAAGTCCTGTCAACTACCGGTCATTATCATTAACTAAAATTAGATTTCATTTTTTTTCTTGAAATAAAATAAACATTAAATATATATATATATCTTTGCTTAAATTGAAGTACTAAAATAATAATAAAAAATACTACATGGACATATTTCAAAAAATAATATTAATGACACAAATTACTAAACCTTTAACTAAAATTAAACTGAAAACAGAAAAAATGTAATCCAATTCAAAATATAAAAAAATATAATAGTATATCAATACTATTAAAAATCACTGCTGCCCAACTAAACAATATGGCATTATTATATCAATATGTAGATCAAACAGTGAGCGAAAGCTTTAAACTGTGTAAGTGAACGATTTGTATTCTTATCTATAAATTTAAAAAAAAATAAAATAAAATTTTGATAATTGAAATTAAGCGAAAATTAAATATATTATTAATATTAAATGAAAAGCTTAAATAATATTTAGAATAATAATGTTTAAATACTAAAATTACTAAAAAAAGAAATATACATTAGAGTTAAATAGAAATATACATACACATACACACACACACATATATATATACACACATACACACACACATATATATATATACACATGCACACACACATATACATACACATATATATATATATATGAAACGAACATGAAAATGTGTTTTGACGATCTATTTGTCTCTGTATCATATATACAGATCAATAAAAAGGCAATGAATTGTTACCCAGGTAATCGGGCACGTTCTTCAGGTGAGGTTTGATGACGGCGGGATGAAGGTCTTTGTCGTGTCGCAGCAGCTGCAGGTCTCTGGGATTGTCTTCGAAGTACGTCTGTCACACAGAAAATCAATGACAACCAATCACTGGACATTAGAGATGAACTGCTTGAAATGAAGCGATCGCAAACCTTGAGTTTCTCTGAATTGAGCAGCTCCTGTTTGATCTCCTTCAGTCTGGCCTCCTTCACCGCCTGCTTCGTCACCGATCTCATGGCATCCTGGGTAAATTAAAGCACAAAAGAGACTCCTCAGGTGAGCCGAACCACAAACACAGCTTCAGTGCTGCGTGAGGACACAAACATACCCGGCATCTGTATCTGAATCCCTCGATTTCTTCCATTTTGAACCCGTACGGCTTCAAGACACTGTCATGTGTGCTGTCTGAAAACAGACGAGGAAAAATTAATTTGCTTGTAATTTATAATAATGAATTATAATAATATTATCATTTTGTATCTTAAATAGCGATTAATCGCATCCAAAATAAAAGCTTTTGTTTACATATGTGTGTGTGCTGTGTATATTTATTATATATAAATACACACATGCATGCATATATTTATAAAAATATGTTATGTGCATATATTAAATATATATATATATAATATGAATTATATGACTATAAATATATACATGTAAATGTTTTCAAAATATACGATGCATGTCTGTGTATTTATATATGCATAATAAATATACACAGCACACACACATTTTATGTAAACAAAAACTTTTATTTTGGATGCGATTAATCATGATCTTGAAATGTACAACATTCTTTTCTGCCAATATTTGAAGAGATATTCAAAGAGCCCATATTCTACACAATACCAGCATTCTATTTACAAGAATTATGTTAGTTTATAATATGTGACCCTGGACCACAAAACCAGTCATAAGGGTAAATTTTTCGAAATTGAGATTTATACATCATCTGAAAGCTGAATAAATAATATTTCCATTGATGTATGGTTTGTTAGGATCGGACAATATTTGGTCGAGATACAACTATTTGAAAATCTGGAATCTGAGGGTGCAAAAAAATCTAGCTATTGCTACAAATATACCCCAGCGACTTAAGACTGCTTTTGTGCTCCAGGGTCACATACTAGGTTTTTATCAACATGAGCAGGCATAAGTTAGCTTCCTGTGACCATGTTAAAATAAACATCCTCTAAAACCTGTGACTTTTACCTCCAGTAAGAATGTTTTCGACCTGCGTGAGCATGGGAATTTCTGTATGCGATATGAAGGACAGCGCGCTCCCGGAATTATCCGCACGAGCCGTTCTGAAGAAAAATCAGTATTGTTATTGTTAACTAAAACTGTCAAATAAAACTATTCGAAAGCTGAAAATAATATAAAAATGAATAGAATACAAAATATAAATATTAGATGAAAAGCTAAATGAAATTTAGAAATAAATTTAGAATAAATAATTTAGAAATAAAATGCGTTTAAGTTGAAACACTAAAATTACAAAAAATGAAAACATATAAATTAAACGTATATAAATGAAAACAGAAAATAGAAACATTATACAATTAAGCCCAACTCTATTAACCAATATGACATTATTATTTCAATATGTAGATAAACAGAGAGCAAAGAACAACTTGAAGTACTAAAATTACTAAAACTGAAATAAATTAAATAGAAATATATATATAAAAAGACTGATAAAATGGCAAAAAGCACACAAAATTAATTAAAAATTAAATTAATTCTGAGACCTTAGCCATCTTCAAGAATCGGCTAAAAACATATCTCTTCCATCTTTATTTGAACCTCTAACTCTAGCACTCTATTCTAAATCTATTTTAT